AGAGTCATGGGACGTGGAGTATAGTGTGGGAGTGGAGTCAAGGGAATTGTAATAGATATGTATGATATTGGGGGGGAGTGGGGCGGCGGATTGGGGGAGGGGAGTTGTCACTTCAAGGGATAAAAAGTATAACTAGTGCACTGTGTTGTACAGCTGAAACTAATTCTAAAAAATATTTCATAATAATTTTAAAAAATTATAGGGCGATCAATGAATACTAATAAAATATACAGCGATCTTGATGGAAATTCTGGTTTGAATTTCTTTTTCATGTTGATCTTCTTATATGACTTCTTCAGACTTTTATGACTGACTTTTCCCTTTGAGGCTTTGTTCTCCTTTCTGATATGGTTCCCCATGTTTTCTTCCCTGTCCTGTAGTTAGGGAAAATGAGGTTGACAATCCCATGCCGTGCAGTGACTTGTACACATCTGCAGTGTTTTGATGCGGCCCTTTATCTGCAAATGAATGAGAAAAAGCCCACCTGGATATGTCCTGTGTGTGACAAAAAAGCTGCCTATGAAAGTTTAATTTTAGATGGGTAAGTATACCCCAATCTAAATGTTAGCTGTGTCTCCATTCATACAGCCTCACATAAATTCTACCTGAGCATAAAGTCCAGATGTTTGTGTGTTTTCTGCTTTATACTTACTTATACTCAATCTTATTTTTAAATTGTGGTTAGTGGCCCTTTTGTCTTTATGATTTGTGTTGGGGGCAAGAGGGTGAGTGGTTTCCTTTTCCTTTTGCTTCCCAAGATCATATTTCGAAGCCTATAGGCAAGAGGGAAAGTCCATTTAGTGATGTCATTTTGCTTACCTAGAACTTCTTGAAGAGCAGCTGGGGTCTATGCAGAAACACAGAGCAAGTAATAGGATAGGTAGAATTGTGTTATGCAGCTGGTAAGTTCAAAACCAGAATTCACATCCAGGTTTTTCTGACTCAAGTTCAAACTCTTAAGCATTATCTCTCGTTTCATATTGCATATGTCAGAATTATGGAAAATGATATGAACCATCAAAAGTGAAGTACCTTTTTTGAATAACACTTTTTAAAAATTGGCTATATCATCCATGTACCACTATAAGATCTAGAAAATATAGTTAATGAGATTAAAATAAAATCACTAGCATCTCATCCTATGCTGATGATTTTGTTATTGATGTATTAAAAAGATTGCAGTCATACTTTACAGAATGACTTGTCTGTACATATGATTTTCTCTCAATGTAGAGTGAAAAATATCCTAGATCTTTAAAGATACCTGTACAACATTTTTTGTTTAAAGTTTTAAGAGTATTACTGTAGAAAGGAATGAGACATTGAAAAGCAAATGGCACTTTTTACTTTTCTCTTTATAATCTTTTACTTTACTGGCTTTTTACTTTAAAAAACTTAAACTTATTTTGAAATAATTTCAAACTTACAGAGAAGTTGTAACAGTAGCACAAAGAAGCTCTCATGTAACTTTGACCCAGGTGTGTCAGTTGTTAACATTCTGTTGTATTTGTTTTATCGCATTCCCTTCTAATACATGTGTATATACATTTTTGGTGTGTGCGTGTATGTAGAGAGAAAGAGACGATTATTACTATTTTCAGAATTCTTTTGAGCCATTTGAGAATAAGTTGCATATGTCATGCCCATTAATATTTTAGGGTGTGTTTCCTAAGTACTTGATATTCCATTCTATGGGTTTACTACTAATCATTTCAACATTTTTTTTGTTATTGCCTGTATTGTTTGCTTCTGCTTTTTCTGTTTTAAGTTGCCTTGTGATGTGAACATTTTTGAAACTTGTGTGTGTGGATGTCTATGAATTTTTCCTTAAGTTCTTAGAAATTACAGTGCTGAATCAAAGAAAATATGTAATTTTAAGTCTTTTACTATTATTAAGATGCTTCCCAGAAGGAGTCAACTATTTTACTTCTTTATAGGAAGTCATTTTACTCCTGCCAGTAGAGTATTAAAAGCCTACTACTTCTCAGTCTTCTTAACAATCTTATAAAAAATTTTATTTATATCAAATCTATCTCTAAGTAGTTCATTTTTTTGATGTGGTATTTTTTTTTTAAATTTCTGGTTGCGTATAGAAATATAGTTGATTTTAGTATATTGCTCTTATACCTTGAAACCTTACTAAACTCATTTTGTAGTTCTAGTTACTTTATTGTAGATAATATGGTATATTCTATAGACAGTGGTGGTGTTTATGAGTAAAGTCAGTTTTATTTCATTCTAACCTGGTTGCCTTTTATTTCTTTGCTGTCCTGAACTGACTAGTTTATTAACATTATGACTTACATTCAAATGTTAAACTTGCTTTTTGGGGATAAACCCCACTGGGTTTTCTTACCCTTTTTATTTTATTTTATTTATTTATTTTTTTAAAGATTTTTATTGGGGAATTGGGGGGAGGGGAACAGACAAGTTGCTGTC